AAGTTGCTTCAGATCATAATTAGAGCAGTACTAAACAAACTCACTTCTCTCAGAAATCATACACTGCAACTTTCATAAACAACCATCTCCTCATGCTGGCAGGGACTTAGGGCAGGAGCTGATTTATTCCCATTTTCAAATTGTCCCAAGGCTTTAAAATTTCAGTTCCAGTCCTAATATCTGAACTTTTCCAGAGTTCAGAACAACACAGGATATTTATCTGATGGCCTGGCATCACATTCTCCTAAGGTCTTCAAAAAACCCACATTTTAATTCTTGTCTTAATTAAGTGGACCTAAGTCTCCATGGAAACCAGATGAGGGGATCCACCATGTGCCTAAAGATAAGGGGAACATTTATGAAATGAGTCTTCTCAGCTCCCCACCAGAAACAGATACTTGTGCTAATCCTGAGGAGAAAACAGAATAGTTGGCCAAGCTTCACAAATAAGATGGAAAAATTCCAGGGGCTTGGGGTTCAGGAATCAGCATCACTGAACTCCCAGCCTGGCACCGTTCGATGGACGCAGTCCCGTGGGAACAGCACCCACCAGGTGCTCTCCAGAAACAAGGCCTTGCAAATCAAGCTCAGTTTCCCAGGATAACCCCCAAATCAAGTCTTCCCTTTAAAAAACCTCTTAAAGAAGTCTGGCAACTCAGCATGTGACTTGGAGATGGTCAAAATGACTGGGCCATTCTTGGGAAATGAAACCCAATGGAATATTTGGCTTCACAGCAGAGGTGGAGAGTTACCTCCTCTTTCCAAGAATTTGGTTTCAGATCTCTAAATGTCCTCCTATTTTCAAATCCAATTATTTCAGAAGAGAAATGATGTTCCTAAAATGTGTTTGGCGTGAAATAACCAGATATTGGCACCACTAAATTTTCAGAGGCAGGGGAACCTCCCTTTGCCAAATCACTGCCTGCCTGCAGTACCTTGGACACACCACCACATCGTGGTGGCATGAACTTCTGACCAAAATGCAAACAGAGCCCAAGGGAAACAATTCCAATTTGCTGTTTCTCACTCATCATTTTCCCTTCCAATTGTTAATTTAGATTTGGGATTATTTTTCAAATTCTGACAGAGAGCACCCTCTGCTTTGAGCTTATCTCTGCCCACAACCCAACTCAGCTGCAGTGAATTCGTAACTCTCACCATTAGAAACAGTCCAGCAGAATTTGGTTAATCTTTGTGCTCCAGGGGTGTTTTGCTGTATTAAAAACAACAGGGATATAATTCTATAATGCTAATATGGCCTTTGGCTCATCACTCGCTCCCCAAACTCTGACCCTCTGACAGAAACAAGATCTTACTAAAAGCCCAGGAAAATATTTGAAGAAAAAACATTTTGGTACTCAGAGATACAAAATTCTTCATCACAGTTAAGATGAGAGTTTTATTTAAGAGCTTCTGCACATTGCTGTGAAATATGAAAGGATGGGAAAAGTATAAAACTGTGGGAGAGCACAACTTCAGGCTTAAAAACAATGAGAGGAGGAAGAAGTTAAGAACTGCTCCTAATCTTAAAGCTAAATTTGGCTGTTATGGTACTCACCCTCAACATTTTTAAAAAGTGTTAAAAGCTTTTGACAGCCCTTGAGGGAAGCAATTTGTGAAAAGTACTTTAAAGGGAGATTTATTTGAAAAGTTATAATAGACTTTTGGAAGAATTATTGGCCCCTTGACTATCAGCAGAAACACTCCCCCCACTGCAGGTTGGAAACCTGGCAAACAGCAATGTTTCAGAGGTCTTGAAGGAAATAGGTAAGCAGGGCAAACTCTGCTGTGGCACAACCCCCCTGCCACCTGCCTGCCCCTGCAGCTCAGCCGTGCTCAAGGACCAGGAATGGGAATCACTCCCTGGGTAAAGGGAGCCCTGGTGATTCTGGAAGTGGCCACTGGTTTTTAAACAGAGACTTCTCCACTCTAAAACAATGCACACAGCAATACAGGACAGAGATTGAGCCTTTGGAGAGTGTCCAAAGGGGGGCAATGAGGATGGGGAAGGGCCTGGATTTGAAGGCGTGTGAGGACACTGAGGGCACTTGGTGTGTTCAGCTGGAGCAGAGGAGACTGAGGGGAGACCTCCCTGCAGTTCCAACTGCCTGGGCAGGGGCAGAGGAGGGGCAGGACTGAGCTCTGCTCTGGGGGGA